CAAAGGGATGCATATTTAAGCCACCTGTGCCTGAAGAAAGCTTCATTGAAGCGGGGTATGTATGATGTACAGTGGATAATTCATCTTGGACACGGATCAGGTTTCTTCTAGCCTGAAGACTCGGGGACATTGCCTTCTTGGCTGTCCGTTTCGCATGAGGTAGCCAAGAAAGAGTGTTTCTCTCCATGTTCCATGATTCTGTGGATCCTCATTGGCGAGGGATTATTGTCGTGAGGCACTGTAATATCCGAACTTGCTGCACATCCTACCTATTCGTCGTCATAGACTTACTATACTCTCAAGGACTGAAGATCTATGAAGCTCCGTGTCCTTTTCTGTCACGAATCTCTAACTCCGTGGGGCGATACTCATTTGGAATATTCTGCAGGTTATTTGACGATATATGTTGTAGATACTTTAATTTACTGACAAGAGAACTATAAAAGCCCAAGTTCGCCGCGCCGTTGGTATCGTTCTGCATTGCTATCACATCACTCATTTTCTTTTGTTTTATTTTCTGGGTATAACCATTGATCTTATCCAACAAAGAGCTTGACTCATCAATATGAGATTCGATCACATTGCCCTCATCGCTGCTGCGGCTGGATCCGCAGCGGCAGCTCCTGCGAAGAATGCAAAGAGAGCTTCACCCTTCCAATGTTCGAGACCATGAATCCAAAAGATGTTTCTAATCATCTATTGACCAAATTGCTTGTATAGGGTTCGGAACAAGCGAATCTGTAGCCGAATTCGGCGAGAAGAACATTCCTGGTGTCTACGTGAGTGGGCCAAACATGTCTTTGGAGAACCTCAATTGATAAAGATGTAACAGGGAAAGGATTATTACTTCCCGGATGCCAGTGCAATCCAAACATTGGCTGAGAAAGGCATGAACATCTTCCGGGTGGCGTTCAAGATGGAACGGCTGGTACCGAACACCATGACTGGAGGATTTGATGCTGCCTACCTAAGCAATCTGACCGCAGTATGTTGTACCCTATCTACCAAAATAAGAACAAGGGGATACTGATCTAGTGGCAGACGGTCAAAGCCATCACCGATGCAGGATCCCATGCTGTGCTTGATCCCCATAACTATGGAAGATAGTGAGTGCTCTATCAAATGAACGAGTGGATGAATCGAAGCTTATTACTGTTCACAGCAACGAGGAGATCATGTCAACCCCCGCCGACTTCCAGACATTCTGGAAGAACGTCGCAGGCGAGTTCGTTGAGAACGAGCTAGTCATTTTCGACACAAGTCAGTATCCCAAACCGTTAGTCACATCACAGGTCGCCTGTTAACCAAATCATGCACAGACAACGAGTACCACGAGATGGACCAGGACCTCGTCCTGAAGCTCAACCAGGCAGCCATTGACGGTATCCGCGCAGCGGGGGCAAAGAGCCAATACATCTTCGTCGAGGGCAACTCCTGGTCCGGCGCGTGGACTTGGGTCGAGGTGAACGATAACCTGAAGGACCTGACCGATCCCGAAGACAAGATCGTCTACGAGATGCACCAGTACCTCGACTCGGACGGATCAGGCACGAACGAGGCATGTGTGTCGACGACGATTGGAGCGGAGCGCGTGACGGATGCGACACAGTGGCTGAAGGATAACAAAAAGGTTGGAGTTATTGGCGAGTTCGCCGGTGGTGTCAACGATGACTGCAAGACGGCAATTACCGGCATGCTTGATTTCATGGGCGAAAACTCGGACGTCTGGCTCGGCGCATTGTGGTGGGCTGCTGGACCTTGGTGGGCTGACTACATGTTCAGTATTGAGCCTCCCACTGGGCCGGCCTATACTGGTATGTTGTCGACTCTTGAGCCATATTTGCAGTAAACCTTGTCAATTGAGGCGAATATGAAAATCCATAGTCGCGTGTGAGTTTTAAGTTCGGTTGCTGCAATTTGAAATTTCTTTTTGTGATGAACGTATCATTTGCCTAAAAGGTGGTAGATGAAACGATTAAAATTTCCAATGGCCACAGGTGTCGATCAGCGCATGGTTTTGCCTAGAGAAAGAAACAAATATCCCAGAATATTTTAAGTTGCGCAATAGTTAGGTTCGTGGGGTTATCCCAGATTCAGAAAAGTTTATTTGAGAATAAATATAGAACAAGGCATCACAGTAAATTTGGCCAGAAACAGCGGAGATGAGTGGAATGTACAGGGCGGGATATAATGCCAAGAGAAAAATAGGGAAGCCTGGCATCCAACTCGTACAGTACTCCATTGGCTTACGCAGTCTTGAGGCGGAGAGGGAAAATTTCAAAATGATCCACAAGGCTGTTCAGGGTAGAGAGAATGACGAAGCTCGGGATTGGAGCATCACCTGTTTTGGCCACTGAAATGATGATCCTGGGGTCAGAACACGGATATGACGTGATTGAGTTTTGCAGGTACACTTCCCATGTAAATATACATGTTGTATGTGTAAGTTAGTTCTGAGATATAATCATCTGAGAATATTATATACTAAATCATATCTCCAAAACGTAGATTCTTCTGATCTGACTGTGTAGGGATAGATGAAGGAGCAGATTAAGGACTATGCCAGCCCAAATAGGACTAGTGCAGCCACAAATAGAAGCAAACGTGGCCCTGGCGTGGCCCTGGCGACGTGACCGCTCAGCCACTGATTGGTCCGCTGATCCTGCGCCTCCTTCCATGGGAGGCTGGTGTTCGTGTTAGTGTGAGGCTGTACAGTTGTTTACTTACCTGGGGATGTTTTTATATTAAAGTGTGCCCCCATCTCACCTCTCCACTTCTCATCCATCTTTCACCTCTTTCTCAATAATCCTATCTTTCCTATCAATACACCTATTCATTATGGGGAAAGCCGGTCGCGTTGCGTGTATCTTCACGCCCTATGCCTTGACCATCGCATCATTAATTTGCATCATTCTGGTGGGATTGGGTTGCACAAAAGCCAGTTCTGATACCTTGAACAATTTATACTTCATTCGTGTAAGTGATCAAAGCTCTGCCTGGCTACTGCGCCCGCTAATGCCAATAATATATAGCTCGATCTCTCAAACATAAGCACAGGATCAGCAATTACATCAGAAATCACAGATCGTCTCGACGATCTACACATCACTTCTGTCACTGCAGCGGAAATCGAGGAGACCATCAAAACCTTCCAGAATGATGCCGACATCGCTGATTTCTACGACATCGGTCTCTGGGGCTACTGCGAGGGAAATTCCACCAAGGGCAAGGACACTGTCTCTTCCTGCACAGAGCCTAAGGCCCAGTTCTACTTTAACCCGTCTACAATCCTAAGCATGAGCGAGACCCAGCTTGAGAAGGAGCTTGGCAGCGGCTTCAAGAAGACCATGAACGTTTACAAGGCCGTCTCCAAGTGGATGTTCATTGCCTACCTGGTTGCCTTCATTGCAACCTGCGCCCAGGTCCTGCTTGGTATCTTCGCCATCTTCAGCCGCTGGGGCAGCTGCGTCACCACCATTGTCTCGATTGTTTCCTTCCTCTTCACTCTCGGCGCATCGCTTACCTCGACCATCATGTTCTCCATCGCAAAGGGCTCCATCGGCACAGCCCTCAAGGTCTATGGTGTCGAAGTAGACCTGGGTAAGAACATCTACGTCGCGACTTGGTTTGCAGTCGCTTTCTCTCTGGCAGCCACCATCTTCTGGATGTTCAGCACCTGCTGCTGCTCCGGTCGCTCGCCCTATGGCCACAAGGACCGCCACGACACCCGCGGTGTCACCGCAGAGAAGGCTCCCTACACCTATGAACCCATCGGTGCCGCCCACCCTCCCTTCGGTTCCTCACAGCCGTATGCTCCCCAGCACGGTTACACCACATCCTATCCTCCTACCCCCAACCACCACAATGATATCCCCTTGACCCACAACAACCAGCATTCGAGCGCCTACGAGCCCTTCCGTCATTCCTAAAAAGATTCTGGGCTTTTATGACTGTATACCCCTTCCGAAGCGATTTTAGATTGGCGATACCAAGGCGTTCTCGTGGTTTTTTTATGCATGTCTTTAATGACCATATCCCTTTCCCGAATTTTTGATGATCATGCCATTTTGCAAACGAGACTATAGTCTCGATGGGAGGGAACACTTGCATTTCTGTATATTTGTCTGATGCCCCACGGAGGAATCATTATCTATTCGCCTGCAACTTGATTCAAATACAAAATCCATTTACAAATAACATCTGGCTCTTCGATCTCTTTGATTTCGTAAAATTACCTAATTTGTCCATTTGTCCGACCATCCCCCAAACTGTGTATTTCCCAGTCCATAATCCCGCTCCTACTGACCTAGTTTGTATGTTTATACATCGTACTAACCCATTCTAACCATTAAGGTTCTTTCCTTCTCTGTGGGTCCAAGTAGCTTCAACACCATCGCAGAATGAGACAAGTGGCTTTTTTGCAACTCGGGGGCTTAGAGGCCTAAGCTAGGATCTGCAGCGAGGCTCGAGCGCGTTGGGCTGCCAAGCGCATGGTCTATATACATGAGACTAGATACGAGCCTGCTTGACTGTTGCCGATCTCTACTTCGCTATCCTTGCATCAATTTTTGATGCTGTCGGAGGCGTTGAGGGTCCACGGGGAATCTAAGAATAAGAAATCCGATAGAGGGATATTTTCGGCCTTTCAGTGGACGATTGCAAATGGAGCACACATACGATTAGGGTTTAGTAAATTATCGGAGCTTGATATTGTCACTACTGGGGGGAATTGGGTATCGGGGCATGAGTCTTTTGATTCAACATCCTTCCTGGGTTTGGGTGATTAGAAGATAATGCACAAAGAATTCAAGAATCCGAATCCGAATCTAAAAATAAGATAGCACACTATCTCATATTTTGTTTCCTTTTGCTCGAGTAAGCATAAAATGAAATGGTATCTGCCGTTATGCGTGCCCCTTGCCATTGCGCCGACCGAGCTGTTGGCCCGTATAAATAGAAATACAATTCTTGAGTGGAAGGTGTCTGAACAAATACAATGGCTAGGGATTAGGGTTCTTCCTTTGGTTGTAGGTGGGCCGACAAATGACACCCTTCTCATCAAGTAGAACTCTAGCTCCACCGCGACGATTGAGTTCCTGAAGAACATTCTGATCTTGGCGAGCCCAGCGCTTGAATGGCGTGTCGGGGTCATCAGACCACACAGGACCTGTGGGGTATATGTTCCGAAGAGATCGGAACCAAGGTCTTCGTTGCCTTCGAGGCTCGATCACGGCAGCATTGAGAGAACCCAGGGCCGCGGGCGGGTCGGGCGGGGCGGGAGAGGCAGAGATGTGGCGATCGTCAGTATCATCGCCAAGTTCAATGCTGGCAGTTTCATGGTGAGTATCGTCTCCTTCCTGTGTATCGTCAACTTCGTCCATGCCGGGTTCGGCCATGTCAACGTCGTTCGGATCAGGCGCAACGCGAGTGTTATCTGCGTCGTATTGCGTTGCATCGACCTTCTTTTCATCAAGACCGAAGAGCACAGGCTGCTGCTCGTTGCTGTTAATGATAATTTGGGAGCCAATCGACCCACTGGATGAATCGTTTGCCTCAACTTTGACCTCCACCGAATCTGGGCCAGTGTCAGTAGAGGATGACGATGACTGCGTTGAAATTGGCATGTCGACATCCGGAACAGGAACATCAACAAATGAGCGCGTATGAAGGGTTGAAAGCTTTCCCACAAGACTGGCGGTGAAAGAAGAGTTGGCCGCTTCGCTTTGCAGCGCTTTATCCTGAGTTTCCTCGCCTTCAATGGTAGGCGGAACAAACTGAGAGGCGACTATGTCAACTCCATGGGCTGTTAGGCTTCTCTTTTTGTGCTGGGGGCGTGAGAATGTCGAGCAAAAGAAAACTTCGTAATCTAGTGCCTTTGACTGTTGAGATGTGCGCTCTGCAAAATAGCGTGGGTACTCCTCCAGATGTTGGATGACAAAGTCATCCCATAAGAACGACCGTTGCAGCTGGCCCCTTTGCCGCATTGTCTGCAGTTTCGAGCACATCTCTACAAAGTGAGCGAAATCACCAGAATATGGCGAGTAATCATTGCAGAACTTTTCATAAATTGTCTGTGCTTCAGCGTATTTGTCAGACTTGCCGATAAAGCCCTGCCGCCGTGCTACCAAATCGACATTTGGCCTGGGGGATGCCTTTTGGCCAGTATCAGCACTCCCGCGGCGAGGAGAGCGTGAAGATTTGGATGGTGATTCTCCGTGAGCAGCGACCCAGGCGGTGAATTCCATAGGTGACAATTCCGGCAATTGCGAGGCTCCGTCAAGGGAAAAAGGTCCTCTGGAAGAATCTTGACTTGGTTCATGAAGTTGAGACATGGGTAGCGAGTGGCACCCGGAATAAGGAACAGACGATGGGTCATCCGAGGGGTCTAAATGGAAGATAGACGAGCCACGCTGTCGCTGAGCAGGTCTTGATGAATCAAGTACAACGTCCGAAGACGACTGGACTGTCGCCTGTGATAGTGCATGTACGCTGCTTGTTTGAGTCTGAGTACATAGCACGTCCACTCGCAGTGACTCGTCTGCCAATGTTGGTAAAGATGGATTTGGTGTCTCTTGAGATAGATCGCTTTGCCCGTTGGTATCTTGCGAGCGGTAGGTATTGAGGATTCGAGATGAGGAGGATGTCTTGGCAGCCCAAGAGGATGGATTCTGAGAGCGCTGGAGTGCTAATCCAACTTTCTTTTTGCTTTGCTTCTCGGGATTCAGGCGTATCGTATGGGCTGTAGGTGTCTCCACTACTTGGACAGTCCCCCCGCAAATCTTGGAAGCGATGGCCCCGAGCTAGTAAGCTCCTGCTCGGGCTGACTGCTTAACGGAACGCTTCCTCCTAGAGCGAAAGGGACATATGTTTCCATCTCTGGCTCGTCGCTCTCATCGTCACTTGATTCATCACTGAGCTCAGGTATAAATGGGGGGTTTTGCGCGGGCTGTTCATCATGAGAATGTCTTTGTATTAGACTTGGGGGTAGGTCATCAACCATATCGAGCGATATAGGGGCGTTTTCTTTTCGGGGTGGGTCACCGTCAGGACCATAGCCCAAAGACACTGGATTTCTCGGCTTTGCTGTTACTTCGTCGGGAGACTGAGACCTTTGTTGCCCTGCTGTCTTGATATTGTCCTTTGATGCGACAATATCTCTCTGCCCTGGCTGAAATGAAGCACTGCAAGATCCGTTCACCATGTCCACATCGCCATCATGTGCAAATTGAAAAACATTATATTGAGTGCCGCTTGGCGTAGGGGGGTTTCTGGTAGGCCTTCTGTATCTTGGGGGAGAGGCGGTGTCTCGCGGAAGAACATCTCGAGCAGGGGTCCTATTCGGCGACGGGGACCATGGTATGGGGGATGTTTGGATATCGTTCGGGGTGGGAGTAAGGGCACATTCGGATACTTGGTCTTCTTCTCCTTCTCCTTCTTCTTCTTCTTCTTCTTCTTCTTCTTCTTCTTCTAGTTCTTCGACTAAATGTTGTCTTCTTCGTGCAATGCTGTTCCATTGCGTCAAAAGATGAGGTGGTACATGGCATAAAGGTGCAGATACACCGGGGTCCTGAGGGATCCATTTGAGTCCTTCCAAAAGTTCTGCCTGATCTTTTGGTATATCAACTTCGCTCAGAGGTATTTGTATCATTCCTTCCCATGGATTAGTTGTGGATGGGCACACACTGTCTGTTTTGGTGCTTACGATCTGCACTGTAGGAAGTGATGGCATGGCCTTATTTTGCACTTGCTCGGATTCAATTGTGTCTGCCGGTATCACCTCTCTGGCATCAAGACGCTGTCGCTTTGTGGAGAGTGATGTGTGTGGGCTCTGCGGGTCTTGCGGGTCTTGCGGGTCTTGCGAGTCCAGGTGATCATCCCGAGCTTCTTGTGGTGGTGCATCTGTACTGCCACGATGTCTTTTTTTCGAAAACTGCTGGTTATCCCCGGTTCCAACGGTATGAGCCCGGCCATGATCATCCGACTCATTTGGGGATTGCGAGACCTGACTTCGAACCTCCGCTATTAGGTTATCCACATCTTGACTGAGATTGGCGAGAGACATATCGGTAGCAGAGTTACTAGTGCCCGTCGCATCAGCAGTGTTGCTAGAAAGTCTTCGGAATGAGGGTTGTGTTCCAGTTGGATATGTGTCAATTTCTTGTGGTGCCAGAGACTTCATCTCATTTGGCAAAGGAGAGCGCCTGGTTTTACGTTCACCTAGAGATAGTCCACGGGTCTCTGGAAGTTCTCGAGTGGCTGGGCCGTCCGTTTGAATCGAACGAGAAGGCGCGAGCAGTCCTAGAAGATCCGATGACCCGTTGAGGGAAACACGATTGGTCATTGAATTACCCTTCGGTGTGCCATGGCGTATATTAGACGGGGGTTGGGAGAAGAGGAACTGTGATGTCGAGTTGTTTTGATGGGGTAGCATGGGTTGATCACGCTGAGAGACAAATGAGTCGGTCAAGCCAGTATCAGGTTGACTATTAGAGCCAGGATGCGCTTGTGTCTTTCGGATTTTCTCGGATGCCATAGTCATTAGGGTTCTGAGAGTCGGCGTCTTCTTGAGCTTTGGTTTCGGCACATCCCCTCTCGGGACTGCATTCGGGTGGATGGTAAAGCGATTGACGTGAAGGTAGACATCCGGAACAGACGCCGAGTACGTAAAAATGAGCTTGATGTCGGAAAGTTCAACCAGGTGTCTAGGGCCCCCTTTGACCGACGGTGGGCAGGGTGAGGTTTCTTTCTGTGCGTCCGGCGAGCCGCGTAGAATAATCGCATCAATCTGATTCTTTGAGTCTGTGAATGTGGCTCGGTGACTGTCTTCTCCTTGTCCCCACTGAAAGACAAAAGACATACAGTTAGCAACAATTCTATTTCCTCCACATCCGGTTGAGATATCTTACCGATACAACAATGGCTGTGTTTACTGTGGGTTTGCGGATAATGAAAATGAGGCATCCCTCATAATCCTCCACTTGGATTTCATCTTGATCATTTTGACCGAGGTAGGCCGAGAGACATTGGTCGGCCAAAGCCGCAAACCAGGGACTCACTGGATTCATCGTGGGAATCCAGCCTTTTGATCAATGTACACAGCATATGGGTCATAGCTAGTAAGAGTAAGCAGTGGATGGATGCCCAGGTGGGATGTTTGTAAGGCGTAGTTTACCTACATATGTGTAGAAAGACAAGGTCGCACATCAAAAATCCACTGAACCGCGTCTTATCGGAGCTGCCCAGACGCGCCTACCTAGCTTACTCAGCACCACCACGTCATTCAGCGTGAGGGCCAAGGACCTATTCTTTTTGTAAAAGAACATTTGACGTTTCTTTGATCACCCTAACGCTCTTAATGAACCCTCGATCCTCTTCCTTCTTCCAACCTCGCCAAACTTGAGACCTTACCGCAGTTCTGTCCCGGCAGTTCTGTCCCGAATGATCGGCTACAAACGGTGCCTGTATCCGGTGTGGGGATGATCTGAGACCTTTCTGTTTAACTTGGCCATGGATTCTCAGCAATCCCAGGACTCACGCAGTCCGTCTGTGTCTTCCACCTCGCTTCCTTATGGGCGACGGGGATCACGCGGCTCTATGGCAACGACTCAGACCGAGCGAGAATCAATGAATGCAGCTCTGGATAACTACCATAATGCAGCGTATCAGTCCGAATCGCTCACTCTCTTCAACGATTTTACTAGTCCACCGGCCCCAGCTGCTACATCGGATGAGAAAGGACTGTCTGATGAATTACAAGGTGGATTAAGCGGTCTGTATAGTCGCTTTAGGACTTCCGTCGGGGGAGTGAGAGATATTGTCAGTGGTGGCGGAAAGTCTACAGACAAAAATGCCACAGAAACTCCTGCAGTCAAGAGCCCTGTGTCGGAGCGTTCGACTACAAAATCAGTCCCAGACCTGGCTACAAGTTCCATTGATTACCCGCCATCACAGCCCAACTCGTCACAGGGATCAAGGCTTCACTCGCCTATTGTACCAGACTTTCACACTCATCCCGATTCTATGCAACAATCGAACGTAGGAAAGAGATCAAGAATATCTTCCAAAAGTGGCAGCATATCTTCCAAGGCCTCCGTGTCACCATCCCCTGGAATCAAGCCCAGTATCGCACCGTTAACGAAAGCCACTAGTGGTGCCATCGCGGCGGATCCTGCAGCTACCCAGCTTCATATGAACGTAATCGGAAACCCCGACCGCTCAAGAAGCAGCTCCGTCAATGTGCCCTTCCAGGGAGTCCATAATGCAGAATCGACAAGCATCAGCAGCAAGGAAGGCCCTACGGATCTTTCTGCGAGTCACACATCCTCTTCATTGAGTCAGAACCTTTCTAGTTCGCCCATTCTGTCTGCAAAGATGCATGACAGCCATCATGAGGAATACAACCCCAAAGACCCATTCTTCTCGACAACCTATACCCCAGACCACCACTCTCGGAAGTCCGTCTCTACTCCAGACCAACAAAAGCTGCCCGAAAACTCCACTCAATCAGCTAACGTGCGGAATTCAAAGCAATCTGAGCCAGTTCAGGAGCATATATCTCACCATTCGGGAGAAAGATCAAAATCACGAACATCTTTCCCTTATGAAGAGCCCAAAGCTTCAGTATCTACGTCAAACAGTCTATCAAGACTTTCCTCTCATGATGACATACCGTACGATCTTGAAAAACTCCCAACCAACATGGAGACAAATATTACTCGTGACAGCGCCACCGCCAATGAGCCTCTAAAGGTCACAGCTTCCGGCAGATCCAATGAAGAGTCAACGTCCTCAACGCGAGCAGCGCGACTGCCTGGGTACGTGATTTCACGGGCCTCTACGGCCGAAACCACCACCACGGTCTCTTCTTTGTCCCCTTTAAACACCACAGTCGATCGGGCTACTGGTCAATCTCTACAAGCCAGGCGCCAACCTCCCGCCGAGAACAACGGTGTTTTATCACAGCTTAGGAGTAAATTGCTTAGCAGGGATTTCTGGATGCGGGACGAGAATGCCAAAGACTGCTTTCATTGCGGAGAACCATTCACAACATTTCGCAGAAAACATCACTGTCGAACCTGTGGTCAAATTTTTGATTCGAAATGCACTCTGCTTATTTCGGGAACACGATTCGGACAACCTGGGAGTATTCGAGTTTGCAAACCCTGTGAGAAGATGATCAATGCCCACGACGATGATTCATCTGAGTTTTCGGATAGCGAACAGAGCCCCATAGTGGGCAATCCTCGGGTTTCCGAACTCAGCTGGACCAATACTGGGCGGATATCTGCGGACGACGATGATTCATCTTCGGTTGTATCTCAATCAATCGATCACGTTCTGAGAACCCCGACAATGGCCATACCGGCCACACGACGTGCTGGAGAGGGACATAATCGCCGCTCGGCAATTCTCGAAATTGATTCTGATCGCCCTCTGGCACGACCTAGCTCTTCGCGCTCTCTGCGGTCCTCGCTGGGTGGAAGACCGCACTCCATCAGTCACAAGCGTCACCACTCTCGTCAGCAATATATTCGAGGCTTCAAGCCATATCATGAAGATCGAGCTCCATTCCAACGCCGACATGCAGATGAGATAGACGTTGAATCCCGACTACCCGCCTTTCATAAAGATAATATCATTGACCCCGACCTTGCTCAATATCTCTCAGATGATGCATCCAGTGGCGATGAGCAACCCAGTCTCTTATCTGCAGTCTCGGAGGGCACTCTGTCCAAGAGTGGGGGTGAAAATGAGAGGGCATCCTTTGGCGGACTTCTGGCAGCCGTGAAGAAGGGCAGATCTGCTTTTGGAGAGCGAAATACTCCTAGTGTGAATCGAGATGCAGATGATGCCAGTATCACCAGTTCGAGGGCCGTGAATCTACCTCGTTTTTCTCGTCGTCGAAACATGAGCGTTACTAGCAGTTTTCAACCGCGTCATTCACCCAGGACATCAAAGGACAATATGCTTCCTCATGACACCTCAATACCAGCCATATCTTTACCCGAGGGTTCCAAGCAGGTCGGGTTCAAGATGACTCGGAGTTCGTCGATGAGGGGCAATGATGCGCCGCCGGTGGAATTGAACAAAGCCAGTTTGGAACACGTACGAAAGCTTCTCCATCAACTGCTTGTAGAAATTGCTGTGCCAAATGGCGACAGCTGGGAAAATGCCTTGATGCCAATACTTTTGAAAGCTGCAGACGAGGTCGACCCAGATGTCCAAAACGGAGATGACATGGACATTCGACACTACGTCAAGTTGAAGAAGATTCCGGGCGGCCGGCCTAGTGACACTTCCTATGTATCGGGACTCGTTTTCACCAAAAATTTGGCCCTGAAAGGCATGTCACGAAACATTTTACGTCCAAACATCTTGATCATCACATTTCCTCTTGAATATGCCCGTCAACAACAGCATTTCATGAGTCTTGAACCCGTCATTCGACAAGAGCGTGAGTTTCTGGAGAACTTGGTCAGCCGGATCTCAGCATTGCGTCCAAACCTGCTGTTGGTCGAGAAAACTGTTTCTGGCCTGGCTCTTGGCCTCCTCGAGCAAGCTGGGATTGCCACTGCATACAACGTGAAGCCGTCTGTTCTCGAGGCTGTGTCGAGATGTACACAGACTAGGATTATGACATCTATGGATAAGCTCTTGACGGCCACATTGCACAGTGAATGCAGCAGTTTCGATGTGAAAACCTATGTTCATAATGGTCGAAAGAAAACATATATGTACATCTCCGGCTGTCCGAAAGCGCTTGGGTGTACCATTATCCTACGCGGAGGAGATGATCAACTCCTCGCGAAAGTGAAAAGGATTACCGAGTTCATGATCTACGTTGTGTATAATCTCCGCCTTGAAACAAATGTTATGCGAGATGAATTCGGGAGGATATCAACCTCAACGGCAGAAGAATCAACAACCGTCTCCGACAAAGACAAAAATAATCTGCAGATTATCACTCACGAAGGCGATACACCTCTAGTTGACCCTTCTACTGCTCAGCAAGGAACAAGCGAGAAACATGATGATATCTCTGATAGCCAAATTCTCGTTGGTGCCGATGGTGCAAAAGTTCCAGACAACATCCCAATGCCGACATACTATAACGATATGGTTCAGGATTACGAGACGAAGATTTTGTCGGCATCGCCTTTCGTGAAATTCGAGGCTCCGTACCTCCTGACGCGTGCGCGCGAAATGGAACGCAGACTTTCGTATTTGAAATCTCTTCGTGATCAAGACGGTAACTCTGATCAGATCGCCGATGAAAAGGTCAAACCGCAGAAGTTTGTACTCATCACCCCGGAAATGGTTCATCAATCACCGCAAGATGCGCCAGCACAAGTCAAGGAAGTATTGCGTGCTGCGCATGAGGCCGAGTACGATCGGGCACTCTATCACCATCAAACCCAAAAACGCCAGTGGGAAGCCTATGTAGCGGGGAACCCCAACATGTTCGACCCTTATGCACATCAGAATATAGTCATTCTCTACAGTGTTGTGTGCACAACAACATCAGTCCCCTGCTCCGGGCCGGATACCTTTGCCCTAGAGTTCTACAATGAGCATGGAGATGACACGGTCTTTGAGTCAGATCTCACAATTGGGCAGTATGTCGAGGACCTTTGTCACACAGCAAATTCGATATGCACCGTCAACGGCTGCGAAAAGCGCATGTTCGAACACCACCGCCAGTACGTCCATGGCGAGGCTCAGATCAGCGTCCTGGTCCAACCTTACCCATCTAAGCTCCTTGGGCTCCATAATACCGTGCTGATGTGGAGTTGTTGCAAAGTTTGCGGCAATGAGACTCAAGTCATGCCTATGTCGAAGAGCACATGGAAATATTCATTCGGGAAATACTTGGAGCTGTCTTTCTGGGGCAGACACTTGCTTGCTCGTACTGGAGGTTGCTCCCATGATTTGCGGCGGGACTACCTCCACTTTTTCGGCTACAGAGATCTTGCTTTGCGGGTCCAATATGACCCTATTCGTCTACTCGAGATTATCGTTCCACGGCCTCGTGTCACTTGGAAGGTGGACAACGATCTGAAGATGAGGAACGAAGTATATTTGCGTACCGAGCAACGTATCAGCAAATTTATGGCATCTGTTCAAGACCGTTTGAAAGGCATCAATGTCGAGAGTGTTGTTCCCGAGCTAGTGGAGAGCTGCAAGACGGAAATCGAGACTTTGATCAAGAAGGGTCATGAAGACCATAGCTCTTTGGTCCGGCACTTACAAGACAAATACACAAGTTCTCGCTACTGGGAGATCATACCGCTGAATGAGGTCCTCCGTGCAGTTCAAGAAAAGGTCGTCGAATGGGACACGACGTTTGTCGAATTCGAAATGAACTTTTTCCCATCCGAAAAAGATATCAAGCATATGGCAACACTGCAACTGAAGAAAATCTTCCTCGACAAAGATGCAACATCAGTTTCTACAGATGATGCCCTTCAAACTCCTACAGACGTTGAAGATGAAAACAACCAGGCAGTTGACAGACCACGGATGATGCGACGCATGACACTTTCGCCGGAAAAGGCACAGAATGTACTAGTCTCCGTTGTTGAGGAGCATGCTGGCAAGAAGCACCGCGAGGAACTCCAAGAAGTTGCGTTGCAGTCGCCTCTAGCCTTGACCGAGCAAGCAACTTTGTCACCCGATGCCGCCGGCAGAACGAGGTCCTCCCCCCAGGATGAGGCTGTCTCACAAGAGGAAGTCCGTCATCTTGACTTGGCTGTTCCTACTGGTCGATCGGAACGCAGCTCCGTTGGCCATGTTGACATTTCGAATCAATCTTCAATCAACACTGATCTCCCCGTGATGATCTCCGGTGACGGATTATCGGAATCCTCACCACCGGAAAGTTCTGAGATTCCCGATCAAGGAACCAAAAATGAACCCGAAGACAACGGGGCTTCTGACATGCCAAGCACCCCAGTGCGTCGGCCTTCGGCGATACCGAGACCTACCGAACTAGCCTTTCGACGCTCCGATAAGACACGATCTCCTCCGCTTTTGCGCACCCAATCTCAGCCAGCCAATCTACCACGGTCATCTCACAACATTCCACTTCCAGGGTTAAAAATGGCATTCACCAACCCAACTGATCCGGAAAAGTCTGCAGGCCAATCACCAACTAAGTCATCGGATAGAAAGCTGAGCGATCGTTTGGGCTTGAGTTCCCTCAAGAATGCCCGATTTGCCTCGGGTCACTCACTTATTCCACGGTCTGCTCCAGGTAAAAGGGGAATATCGCAGGTTTCTCATCTTGCCAGGCATTTTGAACAATTGAGTCGTGAGTTTGAAAAAGAGAGACAGCGCGAAAGACGTCAACGCGCTGCTAAGGGCACTCACTCCCGTGCATTCCCATTGGCGTCCTCGAAGCCAATCGTGGAGGTCTATCGAAATGTACGAGAGGCTGTTGAAGAACGTGAACCACCAGTTGATAGTGATGAATCCTTGCCCTCGGCTCCACGGATCCCAATGGACGACATGAGTCGCAAGAGCGATGAACTCAGGCATGATCATATAACTCATGATGAGCCATCTCTTGCAAATGACTCTCCAGAGCCTACGGAAGTAGATAATACACTCTGTCCTGACAACCAACTATTGTCTAGTGGCGAAGCAGATGATCACCAAAGTGATGAGGATCAAAACATGGTTGAAGATCTCCATCCGGTAGATTCCCACGAAGAGACGAAACAGTCAGCAGAGGACGATACAATTGACTATAAAGAACTCCCTAAGCACGAGCGCACTACTCTTCTAAAAATGCTGACAAACTTCTGGTCTGAACGTTCTGCCAGTGGGTGGGCGTCTCTTGACTATCCACTCAGTGTCATGGATCATGTCTTTGCTGATTGCAATATTATTGTTCGCGAGGATGAACCAAGCTCTTTGGTAGCGTTCGCTTTGGACTCTTTCGACTATAAAGAAAAGCTTTCAAGCATTCAACAACGGTTTGACGAAGTGGAAGAACACAAACCAGATGCCGGAGATGACATCGAGACTGAGAAGGAAGCACGGGTCGAACATGCTCTCTTGCGCCCTACGGGCACACATCTTAAGTACCAATTTCAAGAAGGCCAGGCCAAGATGCTGTGCAAAGTGTTCTACGCCGAGCAGTTTGATGCTCTACGCAAAAAGTGTGGCGTGGCAGATCGAATCGTTGAGTCGTTGTCTCGTTGCGCAAAGTGGGACTCAAAGGGTGGCAAAACGAAATCATTATTCCTGAAGACCCTTGACGACCGTTTTATTCTCAAGTCACTCTCACCGATTGAGACGCAGGCCTTCCTCAAATTTGCTCCGGCCTATTTCCAAATCATGTCCGAAGCCCTGTTCCATGAACTCCCTTCCGCAATCGCCAAGATGTTTGGCTTTTACCAAGTCATTATCAAGAACCCAGTCACAGGAACAGAGTTCAATTGGTTCTTATTGCTAATGGAGAACCTGTTCTACGACCGTGTCCCTACGCGCATCTTCGACCTGAAAGGCTCAATGCGGAACCGCAAAGTAGAGAGCACCGGTGAGCGGGACGAGGTTCTCTTGGACGAAAACATGGTGGATTTCATCTATGAGACACCTCTCTTTGCCCGCGAGCACTCAAAGAAGCTTCTTGGCCAAAGTGTATGGAATGATACCCTTTTTTTGGGTCGCCAAGATGTCATGGACTACTCGCTCATGATCGCCATCGATGAAAGCCGCGACGAACTGGTGGTAGGAATCATTGACTGTATCCGCACCTATACCTGGGACAAAAAGCTCGAGTCCTGGATCAAGGACAAAGGATTTGGTGGCGGTGGCCGCAATCGACCAACGGTCACAAGTCCTAGGGAATACAAGGGCCGTTTCCGTGAGGCAATGGCCAGATACGTGCTTCAAGCTCCAAGGTTAGTTGATATATCTTCTTTCATGTGCGACTAAATACTGACTCTGGTTTAGCTGCTGGCATCAATTCCAACCAACTGCGATGTACCGCTATGAGAACCAGATCACTGAAGTTGAGACTGTTGATGAGAGCGGGTATGCAGAAGACGCTGGTTTCTGATGGCTTCCTAGTTGACAGTCTCCATTTTGGCCCGCAGCCATGAACAACTTACATTAATGATTTATGACCTGATGGGTTTGCATGAAGAGGTGCAGCGCAGCGTTGTGCTTTGTTGCGAATTTCTTATTATCATGACTACATTACCTCATTCAAGACATTCATTATAAACTAGCATTTTATAGCCAGTCCCGGATCATTTTCGTTTACTCAATGAGATCATGCCAATTTCAGATATGCCTCTCTATAAATCACTTTGTATTTATATATTGGTTCAACTTTTGGGCTATGGCGTCTTTTTATACTAACCGCTGGGCGAAACCTAGAGATGAGCAAGCGGATAATCCGTGAGAAGCCACATTCATGACATGGTGTTTTATGCTATGCGTTAATCTATTCAAAGATTTTATCCGTTAGGGAAGAAGTTATATTGCCCAACTCTTAATCCAAGCGTTCAACGTCAGTAGTAAGTACATAATATATACATTTTAAAAGAAAAGGTAAAGAAATCCGTGAAAGATGTGTGTGCAACCGGTGGACACTAGTTTAAGCAGACAGTGCAACCAACACCCATCAGCAAACGCCCTTCATGGGATGCATTATTTGATGGGCCAAGGTTGTTTGATGGTCAATTCGAATTGTCCATATTGCTTTTCGAGGAGAACTAGGAGCTCGGCCTCGCCATGCGTCTTCACCAAGAAGTATACACCGGGCTTGATTTTGGTGCAGATGGTGCAGATGGTGCAGATGGTGCAGATGGTTCGTATTCCACAGTCACATCATCTTTGCGGTATATACGCCCCATAGGGTGGCTCTTGGTCTTGTTGTTGTCGTCGGTGGGAAGGATGCTTTCTTGACTCTCTCGGTCGATGTTGGTGAAGCCGAGGTCGTCGTGGGTTTTTGATGGTTTAGAGCGATTGTACGAGGAGGGGAAATTGCTGCTGCCTTTGAATTGATCGCTCTTTCCTTGACTGTAGGAGCCTATTGCTCGTTTGCCGAGAATAATTTCGAGGAGTGGTTGTAAGGTGGGAATGCACGATGCTATAACGACGACATTGGCTTCAATGCTACACGAAAAAAAAAAGGGTTAGATCATATAACAATAAACAACATCGGATGGGATATGCTTACTTGGTCCACATGACGAGGTCGGCAGTACCGTCTATTGTTTTGGTCAACCTTTGATTGTAGCTAGAGGGATAATAGAAAGACTCACATGTGTAATCTTCTTTGTCGGCGAGTCCATGAAGCTGGGTACATTTGATAATCGCCATTGCAGAAGCACTTTATTACCACTCCGGTCAGCTTCTAGGCAGTATGGCATAAGTTGGATAGGTATCGACTTACATTGCACCAAGCCCTAAAGCAGCACATAGCGCAAGTCTCTTTCGTAGAGACATTTGGAGCTTCAGCAGGACGGTGGTCGGGTAAACGGCCAGTGTTAGATCAACAACAGCGGAGACAACTAGAGGCACGGGGTTAATTCCGAAAAGGTGCAGATGGTTGAAGAGGAAGAGACCTACCTCCAGTGAAGATAGCATAGTCAATGAGCATGGTTGTACTTTTGCAGGTGGCGCCTGCTGCCATAAGTCTGGGCGTCCACAATGCCTCTGCCGGATCGCACATTGTGAACAAAATCAGAATGCAGATAATGGACACGATAGCTGCAGTTCCAACCATCGTCCACAGTATAGCCTTGTGCATTGGCTTGGGATTCAAGATTCGGATCAACATGGAGGTCACGGCAATCTTGGGAATAGTGAAGGAGAGGATTCCAAACAAAAAGCTGACTGTATTGAGCAGAATAGCCAGCTCCAGATTTTCCATAGTCAAGTAAATGGCATGTTTTCCAAAGCCCACACTCACGCCTACTGTAGAGATTGCGCAGTATGCAAGCCCCATTATCTAGTACACAGGCTCCAGTTAGATTCGCATAGAGAAGACAGAGCCCAAAGTCCCTTACCATGGAAATCACAATCAAATAATCATCCAAACCAAAGTTCCGCAGCAACCTGAGTCGGATGTAGACCCTAGCTACGACCATGATGGTGGTTAGTCCAGTCAAGGTCCATAGCACGGCCAGGATCTTAGGACCCTTGTCGTCATGAAGATTTTCAGCGGTGACCGCCATTATGCTAGGCGGGATACAGAAAAAGCGAGAAAAAGTGAGGAAGTGAGACCCATTAGTTTATATAAATTCCCTTGCGAGAAAGGGCCTGCTAAAATTAACACTAGCACATAAGGATGTACATGAGATACATAACTAGATGTAGGAACAAAATTGGTTTAAGTGTGCCGTTATTCGACCAACTACTCCTGGAAGCCCATTACAAGGAAATCCTTCGACTTCTAGCTGCGACGATCGCCCTATTTAGGAAGGCCGCATTGTCCATCTTTTGCAGACACAATGCCACTGTTCGGAGAGTAATCTCCGAGGCGAAGCTGACCTACAATATGGTTAGCCCACTTTTAGTCAGATAGTGGTATGAAACCCCTGTCGCACTAGTGAAGAAGTCCTAGATTATCCTTGTACGCTGAATACCCAGACATCATAAATCGCCCGAAGCTCTGCCTTGATATCGAATAACCGTAGCTTTGACATCTGGCCCAAACCTAAAAACAAACAATTGGAGTATGTAGTCTAGATCATACGTTGGAGGTTCTAAAAACGTGCTAGTGATAATCCAGCTGGGATTTCAATAGTCCCACAATTCTAGGAGACCAGTTCGCCTGGATACTCCCCAAAACCAGAGTTGAATAGGATAAAAGTCATCGTCCAGGAGTAGCAAAAGGTAGAAGCGCCAATGCGCCACTCCCCGTTTTACGGGATTTGGTGTGGATGTCAATCTATTTCTTCCCGCCGGACTGTCAGAACCTTAGACCCACTGCTCTGTCACTCCCATTCACGCACGCTTGATACATTTATGCAATTCATGGGAACAATGCATTGGCGCACAATATAACATCGTTCAAGACATCTGGTGGATCCGGGGGCCATCCGTGGGCCATTCGTGGGCCATCCGGGGCCCCGAAAAGACTCATCCGTTCGCTAATTTTAGTGTCGACGAGCCGTTAGACAATCTACAAGTTTATTGCCCGAATAGGAACAACACTGAAGTACCGCGTCTCCACTTTGCCCCCAACTCCAGGGATCCAAACCTGCAATGTCCAAGCGAATGAATCCTGGTTGATCTTCATGACAGTAGACCCGCATGATTGCACCCAGACCGTTGCTCAGGGGGTGTACTTTTCTTGAAAGAAAAGGAGACAGTGAATGCAGCTTATTTCAAAGGGACAGTTCATGTACTTTGTAGTTTATTTAAAGACCCCTCAAGTACTTTTGGCTTGTACATCTCTTCACGCTCTTCTGCACTTTCAAGCTTATTCATATTAAAATCCACAATGTCTCCAGATATCGCAACCCTGACATTGACCGAACCCTTCCACGCGAACGGGGACTCGCATACGAACGGCGCGAATCAAGCAAATGGAGACTGCCATGCTAATGGAGACCTCCAGGATGCCTTCGTCGATCGCGCAGCAACTTCCGCCAACACACCCGAGCTGGTGCCAGGCCTGATCGATCAAGTTGCTTCCCTTGGCAAAGTTGCCAGCCTGCAAGATCACACCGATCGAACAACGCTTTTGGAAGCGGCTCGATCTCTGGTCTATGCACTTGAGACTCCACGTGAGGCCATGATTAGATACTGCTGGTCTCAGGTAAGCTCCCATGATTCTAAAGCTTTAACTTTGTGTCGTTGACGGTAACTAATATATTAGCTTCATAGGCTACTATTTATGCTGCTCTGGAGACAGGTGTTGATCTGGGAATTTTTGCTATTCTGTCCAAGGATGTGAAGCCCAAGTCGGCTGCCGAGCTGGCCAAGGCCACAGGTGCCGACCCAGTTCTTCTTGGTATGTGACCTACCGTCTCGTCTTGTACCTCGTCGGTATACCTAACTAATCATATATATATGGTCAGCTCGCATCCTGAAGCACTTGTGCGCAATGGGAGTCATCCTTGAGACTGGTCCTAATGAATACCGCCGCACCGGAATTTCCATTTCGTTGAGCAAGCAACGATACAATGATGCATACCCTTGCATGTAAGTCTGAGCCCGTGGACCTGGAATTAAAGACTATAATACTAACTCATTGGTTAGGACTAACTGCATCACCTCTGGTGTACTTGCGCTACCTGCCCAGCTCAAGAAGGACGGCTATGCTAACCCATCCAACGGCAAGGAGTGCGCATTCCAGCGCGGATTCCGAACTGACCTACACTTCTTCGAGTTCATGAAGGAAAACCCAGAGGCTGCTGGCCAGTTCAACAACCACATGTCTGTCTACCACCAAGGACGTCCTAGTTGGATGGATGTTGGTTTCTACGACGTGCCCAGCCTATTCTCCAATGTTGCACAGGATGATGTCCTCCTCGTCGATGTCGGTGGCAGCATGGGCCATGATCTCTCAGAGTTCAGACGCAAGTGGTCTGATGCTCCTGGACGCCTGGTGCTTCAGGATCTTCCTGAGGTGATCGCTCAAGCCAAGACGGGGCAACTGCACTCCTCTATCGAGGCAATGGGGTATGACTTTTTCACCGAGCAGCCTATCAAGGGTATAGTTTCCCCACTCTGTCAAGTTAGATCATAGCTAATTTATTTTTCCTCTGTAGGCGCTCGCGCTTACTATATGCACTCTGTTCTCCACGACTGGACAGATGATAACTGCCGCAGGATCTTGAAGGGTCTCGTGGATGTCATGAAGCGCGGACACAGCAAGGTGCTGATTAACGAGAATGTCATCCCTGATACCAACGCATACTGGGAGACAACCAGTCTTGATATTATCATGATGGCCGATTTCGCTTCGACCGAGCGGACTGAAGCCCACTGGCACCAACTGGTGGGATCTGCTGGGTTGAAGATCACAAAGATTTGGAGTGCCCAGAAAGGAGTGGAGAGTCTTATCGAGTGTGAATTGGCATAGGTGAGATCCGATACTCAGAACCATACAACATACAATGTACATAGTTATACTGTTTAAATTAAATTAATGTACTTTAAGAATATGTGGACCAGCTAACCGTCGGGGTGCCCCGCCTCCGAAACGGATAATCCCATTTTAAACGCAGTATGGAGTACTAACTATAGGATCACCACAATGCTAATTGACGGTAAATGAACCGCCGAAAATGGGTACATTTGACGCCGGGGTATGCTCCCTTCTCTGAATCAAGATGTGAGTTAGCCCTGGAAATTGCCCAGGTGAACCCCAAAATTTTAGTCATCTCACATCACGTGTGCATTATATACTTTTGATCAGACCACCTGGGCAACCCTAAAAAATCGACTACGAATGGCGCTCAAGTATAATTGTTTGATATATATCTTTAGTTCATTTTACAATGTACATTCGATAATTATGTTTAAATTAGGCCGTAAAAAAATGATCATTGAGAATGTAATCTCCAGAGTTAGAACCTTTATCAAAATCTGCTCATTCGAAACATCCATGTAAACGCACTCTTAAGTTGTTCTTTTTTTGCTGTGTAGTTGACCGTCTCTTCTTCCAAAAGGCTAAAGTCTTCGATCAGAAAACTCTTACAGTATCTTCAAGGTTCCTCCACAGATAATACCTACTCAACTCCTTTTCCGATAACAGTACTTCGTAGAGTCGCTGTTATTCTAAGGTGGACCTCCGGAGAAGAGAGCAACAGTTGACCAATGACAGCAATGTCCTTGATTGCTGTAAAAAAAAATCTGAGTTGACACACATTGGCCTTTGAGAACCAACTTATCCCCAAAATTGACGATAACCATATTCCAATATGCCACCAAAGAAAGCAGTAGAGGCGCCGACGAACAATGTCGTCGCCTTCGGGCGCGTCAAGTCCAACCTCAAGATGGGTTGTGTTGGCCTGCCTAACGTGGGCAAGAGTTCTCTGTTCAACCTCATGACAGAGCAGAGCGCTGCAGCAGAAAATTACCCATTCTGCACCATCGAGCCAAATGAGGCGCGCTGCAGTGTTCCTGATCCAAGATATGTATGTTTTTTTCCTGTTTCGATTTCTGTGTGGGTATTCTCACGTGATGGATCTTAACCCTTCCTGGGAGGCTCTAGCTTATTTGACATAGGACTTCCTGTGCAAGATCTGGAACCCGCCGAGCAAATACCCGGCCTATTTGCAGGTTACGGACATCGCTGGATTAATCAAGGGAGCCAGTGAGGGAGCTGGCTTGGGAAATGCTTTCCTGAGTCACATTCAGGCCGTGGATGGCATGTACCACGTTGTCCGGTACGTTCACTGCGGAAACTCGAAGAATCAAAGCAGCTACTTACCTATTTTATAGCGCGTTTGATAACGATGAGGTTCTCCATGTGGATGACTCCGTTGATCCCGTCCGTGACTTAGGTAAGCCATTCCCCTCTGACATAGTCAGGAGAAATAGACGCTGATGCTGCGATGCAGATACAATTCAGAGCGAGTTGTGTAAGAAGGATTTGGATATCCTTGCCAAAGCTAAGATTGCTGAAGAGGCAATTGTGCGCAAGGCCGGAGGAAAATTCAAGATGTTGCCGCTCTTCGACGAGACGACTGCTAAGATTAAGGCCCTCTTAGAACAGGATAAGCCTGTTAGAGATGGAGAGTGGACAACTCCTGAAATCGAGTTGATCAACGAGAAGGTTTGTCTAGGATTCTATAACACCCCAGAGACAATACTAACAATATCAAGTTGCGCCTTATCACTACCAAGCCGGTGATCTACCTCATTAACCTTACGATGAAAGACTACCTCCGCCAGAAGTGCAAATACCTGCCCAAGATCGCGGAGTGGGTCAAGGCCCACGGTGGCCAAGGCTCAGACATTATCCCCTTCTCCGTCGAGTTTGAGGAGAAGCTGTGGTCCCTACGGGATGACAAGCCTGCCCTTGAGGCCTTCATGGCTGACATTAAGGTCCCGAGCCGCCTGGGAAAGATTACTACCGAAGGTATGTGACGTCCTCGTTATTCCCTTCGCGTACCCTATACTAACAGTTATGACAGGCTTCACTAAGCTGGGACTTCAGTACTACTTCACTGCCGGCGAGAAAGAGATTCGCTGCTGGCCGATCAAGAAGGGAACACTG